GTTTTTGAAAGAAGTCCTTTATGCTCACCTGGTAATATTTGTGAAATATTGTTTCAAAATAAAAATAAAACCTTTTCTGTTTTTAATATATTATAAAATGTAATTTTATAGGTTCTTCATTATAATTAGTATTAGTTTCTTTTTAACTAAAAAAAACTTACCACAGTTTTTTGAACAGTAATTTAGATAGATTAAGCATCCTCTTCACTATTTCTCTTTCTCATATTTGCTAACATGTTGGCTTCTGTTCCCTCCTAGACAAAGAAGAGGTTCAGAGGAAGAGGATGAAGGCACTTCCTCAGCCCTACGATCACTGGCGGGGAGGACCTCAAGGAGGAGCAGGGGCCTTTGGAGGTCCTGGATCTGGAACAGGAGGAGGAGGAATGGGAGGAGGTGAAACATTTTAAATCCCTAAACTCTGAGGCTACACATGTACATGGTTAATTCAGTTATTCTGGTGGTGTGTCAACAGAAGTCTTCATATATGTATCTTCGTGTCAATTACGTCCTTAGGATTTCAATTTAATCATACGATGGATGGTTCAGGGTTTTTCGGTGGTGGTGGATTTGCTGGAGGGCCACAGATGTCAGGCTCCACCCCACAGTCTGATGGATCTCAGAATCAGCCAACTAACAGACAAACTCAGTCTGGTTCTCCAGTGCAACAGCAGCTCATTCAGATTGGTGAGCATAATTATCTTTCAGGTATCATTAAACTCAAGGCATTGAGATTTTGGGTGCATGATGCATGTTTCCTTCCTGTATTGTTTCCAGCCGCAGCTCTGCAGAATCGCGCCACTTTGACAGCCAAGTGCACTGCTCGTGCTTTGTTACAGTACTGCAGTACAGGGGATGTGCGCCCCCTGCTGGTTCTGCAGAGACATCTGTGTGGAGTGCAAGATGAGAACGGAGACACGTATGTCTTTTTCAGATCTCTGCCTTTCAGCTTGTATCCGGTCTATTGTATCAATGTCTTAACGCATGTCAAGTATACTTAATTCCAGGTTATGTGTCTGCTACCTTTAAACCTTTCTAGTATAGTTAGTGTATTTTAAGTTGCTTAAAAATCTTTGATCTTTAACAATTTCACTTAATTTTTAAAAAAGATTTTTAGTGTAGTAACTTTATTTTTAAATGCATTTAAACGATACATTGAATGAAGAGAGGGATTAAGTGCAACACAATAGTGATCAGAGTTTGTATTAATCTGTGTCGTATTTTCCCCATAGGCCTCTGCACTTGGCCATTATCCATCAGCAACCTGCTGTGGTGCAACAGCTTATTCAGGCCCTGAACAACACCCCACAACAGAAGTTCATCAACAAACTCAACCACCTCAGTCAGGTAATTTAGCATCTATATGCTGTGAAAATGCTCTTTTTAATTTATCTTATAATTTTTGTTTTATGTGACATGCTAATGATTTATGTTCATCTTTCTTACCTTCTCCAGGCTCCATTGCATCTGGCTGTGATCACAAAGCAGCCCAAGTTAGTGGAGATGCTGATGAGAACGGGGGCAGACCCAAGCCTGCTGGACCGAGAGGGCAGGACAGCGCTTCACTTGGCCGCCCACACCGGCGATGAGGCCGTACTACGAGTGGTCCTGGGCCTGCTGGGAGAGCGCTATGTCCATTTAATAAACTCTGCTGACTTCTCAGGTAAGCGTTACACATGCCATTGTCTCTCAGTCTTCATTTAAATGGTGCTGAAGGTTGTATGTGGAATATTATAGCACATACTGATATTTATTTTCACCTTTCCCGCTTTTCAGGTCAATATCCAGTCCATCTCGCTGTAAAGAAAGACGGAGAGCACTGTCTTCGATTGTTAGTGGAGACAGGAGCAAAGATTAACATGCCAGAGCAGAAAAGTGGCTGTACAGCTCTACATCTGGCAGTGAGGGATAACCTGTTAAAACTGGCCTGTAATCTTATTACTGAGGTAAAGGATTTATGGAGCATTTCGGTTAGCATTAGGGGTTCAGAGATACTGGAACCGTTTCACCCTATTTAGCACACTTCAGCATAGAGCCAGCACAAATGTTTTGTCTTTAAAAGTGACAGTTTTATGTTTGTCATTTGTTACAGCTAAAGGCTGACGTGAATATGTGTACCTACGGGGGCAACAGTCCTCTTCACTTTGCTGCCAGTCAAGGCTCACCACCTCTCTGCTCCATGCTGATAGCTGCAGGTATCTGAGAAAACTCTTTTCTTACAAATGTAATGCAGATATCAGGTACTTCAAAACCTCTGAAGGACAAAACCACAATGACTAGTCATTGAGAACATGCTCATGTTGTTTTGTTATTAGAGCAAAGATGAACTTTTACTATATAGGATGTGATTTAGGTAAGGTATTTGATAGTTTTCCACATTTCCTTATGTTACATTCATAGGAATCGCTCATAATTAATGACATATGAACTGAATAACCAATTGAAATCAATATCATCATATTCAGAGCCAATGACTAGGGAATAAGTCAAGTTTTGGTTCAGTGATATGAAAGCTTTGTTTGATGAATCCATCTGCCTTGTCTTCTGTTTTAGGTGCTGATAAACGTATGGAGAACGATGAGCCTCTTTTCCTGAGTTTATCTTCCTCTGATGAAGATGACGAGAGTGAGAAGAATGATGCCAATAAGCAGCTTCCAGATGACATGGTTCAGCAAGTTCAATTCATGTCGATATCATCCGAGAGGGGAGCATTTAACCCACGCAAGAGACCTGCTGCGGGACACACACCATTTGACCTGGCTAAATGTCAAAAGGTTTGAGTTTTTGTATCCATCATAATTGCATACAGTGTGTGAGCGTTTGGAGGTGGATTAATAAATACATGTAAAAGATTTAACCTTTGAAACATCATTGTCTTCAACAGGTTAGAGATCTATTAGATGGAAGGAAAGGCCCCAAGTCCAGTTCACTCGCCCCCAAGAGGACCAAAATAAGCACTGACGAAGGTAATGAGACTTTATGTTAGGGCTGTTTTCGACTAAGGATTTTCATAGTCGAATCTGATTCGTTAGATTTTGCCGTAGTCGACTGATAGTCGAACCTTTTTTTTCTTTTTCTTTTTTTTTTAGATGGCAGCTAGACGTTCGGTTGAATAACTGTTCGTCGTCTGTTATAGGACAACTCGCTCTACGTTTATTTAAAATGAACAGCAAGACAACTAGAAGTGAATGTGCTTGAATCCTTAACAACAACAACAACAAAAACGTTGCAATGAACGTGCTTTATTTTAAATAAATCACACACAGTAAACAAAACCTTAACAAAAAAACTTTGCAATAAACTTTGCAATTTAGACGCGCAAACTGCGTGCCGGTGCGGTGAGACATAGCCTACACGCTCGGGCAGATTCGGCTTGAAGTCGTTCATCCTTGGATGCGGCGTCGCGCGCTGTTACAAAAAAAGCTGTGCACACAGCCAAGCGAAATGGGGTCTTGCCGGTCTTGCGCACCAAACGCGTCATTTTTTGCCGTGTGCACCTTGCGCTCGTGCGGACGCATCGAGTATAAACAAGGCTTTACTCCATGTCAGCGCGCGCTCTGATCGGTAAAGGTGCACAGACCTCTCCCGAATCATCTCCAGCACTCAGCCTCCGACGCACCACTAACTCCGCCTCCGCTTCCCTCGTAAGATGATATTAGTATTTAAACATTCTCTATGATAAAAAATGTTTGTAAAAAATATTTTAATAGCACGGTTTTGGCGGTTATAGAGTTCTAATGACGGTGTTCAACTATAACCGTCGGTCTCACGGTTATATAATAACCGTCACACCCCTATTGGTTACATAACACTTCCCTACTATTCGACTATGAGGTTCATAGTCGAATCGAATCGTCGAATCCTCGACTATTAGAAGTCAGCCCTACTTTATGTGCTTAATGTTCTCAAAAACTCTACTACTTCACTTCTAGCATGTGTGACTGATCGGTATTCCTCTTCCTGCAGTGAACCAGGGTTTAGACAGCGAGGTGCTCATGAAACTGTGTGGTATTCTTATTGAAGACCATGTGCCCTGGAGAGAGCTGGCGGAAAAACTGGGCATGCTCACACTCACTCACCTGTTCCAGGAGAGCGCCTCGCCCTGCCAGAAGCTTCTCGAGAACTACCAGGTAAGAGACTGTCATTGTTCTCTTGGTTTGCCAACTGCCTTTATATTGTTAAAGGGGTCATATAATGCCATTTTTGTACAAGCTAGTATGATTCTTTAGGGTCTAAATTAAAAGTTTGTAATATACTTTAATTACAAATTCTCATTAGTATTGTAAGAAAACACTTATTTTACTTGGTCAAAAACAGCTCTGTTTTCAGCACGCCGTTTCAGTGTATATGACTTTAAATGATAATAAGCTTTGCTCACCCCGCCTCTCTGTTCTGTGTGTACACCGCTTGTAACACAATAACCATAACACGTTGTTCAGTATAAATGTGGGATTATGAATTATATTGAGAACATCATACATAGAAAACATGCCGTAATGTACGTAATGTAAGTGTAAACCTTAGACGCATTCATTGTGAAGCGTGCAGCTAGCGATTTGCAAAGATTAATATAAATATTAATATAAAGTTTAATAAAACGTTACACTCACTTCAGTTGTTCTAGAGGTTCAGCAGGAACACGAATAGCTGGTACCGATCCTTTTTTCAGGAGCAGCTTCTTAGCAAAACCAGCTTTATACTGACCCTCGTTTATAAAGCAGTCTGCTGAGAAATGATTCGCGCAAACATGAAAGCATTGACGTTACTCGTGGGGAATATTCCCTTCGAAAACAAACTCAGCCACTGCGGCTTCAGCGGTTCGGATTAAGGAACATTAAAATGACTGCTGTGTTCGTTATTACACCCAAGAACAGAACACCACAATCGCTTAGACACCATTCTGCTCATAGACAGTGCTCCGGCATATCAACAATGACCGTGCCGGTCCGCGCAGACTATGATTGACAGCTCTCACGAGCGAGGGCGGGTCTGTGTTGAAACGTTGCTGTCAATCAACAATCGTGGGAGGGGCTTCCGAGCGTGTGACGTCACACGGTCGAACGGCTCGATTTGAGGCAGGGGAAAACATATAAGGAGATTAAAACAAAAACACTGGATGGATTTTTATCATTATATGATGTTTGTGTACAGGCACTGCCAACACACATTTCAGTACAATCAACTTGTAAAAGTGCATGTACCATTATATGACTCCTTTAAATAGATGTTGGTTATGTTTGGAACCACATACTAGCGTACCAATGACTTTTTCTGCATATAATGCACATTTTCTGTGAGGACTATTGTATTTGCAAAAATGTGTAAGACAAGACTGTCCTTGCACCTTGTCATATGTCAATGCATTGCACTTGACTTGACCTTCCATTTAAAGTGTAACTAATAAACTGGAAGTAATATCAGATTTTTTATAACATCTTTAACTCATTATTTAACTGCAAAATGTTTTAATAATAATAAAAAATAGTTTAAAGTTATTAGAATTCAAAACTAATTACATGAGGAATGTGGAGCAAATAAATTAATACTAAATAAATGTCCTAAAATGTATTTATTTATTTACTAGTATTTATTAAATAAATATAATATTGAAGAAATGTATTAAATGTGCAGAATACTATTACTTTCTTAAAACATGTAATTTGATGTGTTCATGTCATATGACAACAATGTAGCATACTAGTATTGGAAACATTTATCTTTGCTTAATTAATTTTCTCATACTGCTTTTTAGTTTGATTAAATAAGGGTACGTTTTCATGACAATAATGTACTAATTACGTACAGACAACAGCATTGTCAAAACAATCCCCGTTCACACGGATCCACGAAAACGATTAAAATGGCTGTATCACACATGCCTGACCAGTAGTAAGCGATGTCACTTTGTAAAGAAACACTACACACCTATAGACTGAACATGTAATACCCATCCACATGACGTCACCCTTTTCACAAATTTGCATTTGAAACCCATTTTCAAAAGTTTGTGTTTTCAGGTCCCCAAAACGCTGTTGTCATATAAATGAACAGTCAAAACGCATAAAAAATGTTCTGTTAAATTGCTCAATAAATTTACTAAAATGTATTTACTCATTACACATTCTTCATGTAATTGGTATACGTTTCTGAAGCCTTTAAAATGTCTTTTTAGCAAAACATTTTCTTGTAGATTGTATGTTTTTTGACTAGATGCATTTGTAATTGCGTTTGTGTTGGCATCACATACAGTATGAGTGGTTCATAAGTGTGTTTATGTGTGTTCAGTTGAGTGGTGGTCCTGTGGACGGCCTGGTGGAGGCGCTGCAGTCTCTGGGTGTGAATGAAGGAGTGAGACTTCTGACAGCCAGCCAACCCAGAGAGGACAAGCAGAGCTCAGGTACGTTTCACACTTTGATAGAGAAACAGGGTCACCTCTGAGACTAACACACAACCTTTGGTCAGTAAATTGTGAATACAACACGCTTTTCCTTCTTCCAGATTCTAAAGAGGACAGTGGCTTTGGGAGTCAGTCCATTGGAGAACAGATGGGAAATCCTGCAGTGGGCAATCACTGATTATCAGGATCTATTCATTGAGGACAACTTGGCACTTTATTTGACTTTTTTCAGGTGCAAACTGGTGGACTGTTCATCATCTCAAAGTGGAAATACAGCACGTCACAGGAAGGATTGAAAAGAATCTTTTTGAGGTCAAAAGCCCTCACTGGTATTACATAACAGTAAGACAACATGACATAAATCAGTTGATCCTCTAACCTCTGAGGTTTGGAGTGAAGCTGTAGTCTTAGTGCAGTGCTTGTATCTAAACAACAAATCTCCAACTGAGACTTTACAGTAATTTAACAGTAATGGAATTGCTATTTCCCCAGCACAGCTGTAACCTTGGAATATGTTTCCGGAATGTTCTATGGATGTTTTTAGTATGCTCTCTTTTGATATATATGCAACCTTAGAAAAATTAAGCGACATGATGTAAATTGAATCACATCTTTGCATTTTCTCGATACATCATACTTTTTATTTATGTGTATTTTTGGTTGCAGTTATACGTTTGTTCAGAGGTGAGTGAATATGTTTGTTTTAATAAAGTTATTATTTCATAATTCTGTGTCTTTTATAATGTAAGAGTTCTAAATGCTGACTGAATAGGAAAGAAATATGCATACATGCAGTAATAGTAAAAATAAGAAATGTTTCTTGAGCAGCAAATCAGCATATTAGAATGATTTCTTAAGAATCATGTGAGTAATGATGCTGAAAATTTAGCTTTGCCACCACAGGAATTCATTGTATTTTAATAAATTATATAAAAATAAAGTTACAATTGTAATATTTCAAAATATTACTGTTTTCTGTATTTTTGTACAAATTAATGCTTGGTGAGCTTAAGAGACGTTAACGAATCATATCTGCCCCCTATCGAACTTTTGAACAGTAGTGTATATATATTTTTTTTTTAATAAAAAAATATTAATCCTTTTCACAGTTATCCTTTCAAAACATATTTATTTTGCCTTTATAACATATTTACTATGCCTTTAAAACATACAAACATAGCATTATTTTTACTGAGCGGCTGTAACATAATTTTCACATTATATACAGCTAGAATGGATGAAACACACCAAACACAAAAACTAATTTATAAGAAATAAGTTACATTTACAGCAAAATCTTTGGGTGACACCAAACTACTTGGAGTGGTTAAGTGTTCCCTATAAAAAAAATTGTATAAACCTTTTAGTCAATAGCTTCAGTCACAAACAAATATTCAAGACTGATAATAAATGTTCAAAATATATAAATAACTCTTTTCATTAAATACACCTAATATTCATAGTGCAGTGAAGCGTAACACTATTGAAGTGCCATTGGATGGAATTTGGGTCCAAGATCTTGTCAAAATGATTTTGCAAGTGTATTTTATGTCCTTAATGTCTGAATTTGATCTATATGCTGGCGGTGTTAACAGTCAGTTTAGATCTTCATTTGCATTAGCGTGTTGTTTTACAGGTTTTACAATTTCTTGGATCCTTCATGTTTCTGATATCAACAGGACAATTCATGAGGTTATGATAAGCAGCATAGAAGCTTACCTTCACTCTCCTACAAAGCAATATTACACATGAATTCATTGAACATAAGAACGCATCAGTTTGTAAACAGGTAGAATTATTTCCGACCAAATAACACTCCTTTGAGCAGGTCTCAGTGCAATTGAGGTATAAGATGTGGTTGCTCTGGACAAACCAGCGTTTAGTGCCTCCTTTTAGTGTGTTTTACCACAGCACTGAATGAATTACAAATTTGAAAAATGAGTGCCTGAGAATTCAATGGCTTGGCCATATCCAAATGGGATTTGACACAGAGAATTTGCATCACGTCATTCTCAAGCTCAATACACATTACATTAAATAATACAATGGGGTCGATTATCGTGATGACTTTTAACAACCGTTTCACATGGTAATTAGTCAGTAAAGACATTCCTGTTGAAATGACAGCACGTAATCCCTTGTGAAAAAGAAGTACACTTTAGCATACTTAAAAAAAAAGTACTTGTTACAGAAATAATATACTTTAAAATAATATTCTTCTCTGTGAAGTGAGAACTAAATGGAATTTTTTGCTGACAGTTAATTGTACGTTATTTGCAATTCAATGAAAATGTATTCGTTTAAATGCATATTAAATATGAATAGTTGAATTTAAGAGTGTCTTATTTACACAAGACGTAAGTACATATTTATATGTAACTTCATAATTACTTCAGTTGCCTTTGAAATATGGTTAAATTATACTGCCGAATGTACTGACATGCATTAACTGTAAACTAAAATACAATTTAATGTAATTTCTTATGAAAATTGAAAGTCATATTTAAATATTTTTGTAATTACATATTTGTAATGATGAAGTTGCTATTTAGTACATTTAAAATATATTACCTTTAAATGTAATATCACATAACACACTAGTTTAAAACATGAAAAAGATTATTAAAACATGATGATTTACAATGTACTTTAAAAAAAGTCAAACTTTACATTTTAATGTATTACAAAATGCACTTTTGTTAAACACTTGCAGTGCACTTCAGCACACTTAAGTGGCCATTAATTTCATTCATATTATATTATCCGTAAGTCCAATTTAAAAAAAAAAAAAAAAAAAAAAAAAAAAAAAAACTTTCAAGATTTGAAGTACACATACAAGTGCACATACAATACAGTTAAGCTCACCTATTTCTCACAAGGGATGTGCTATCTGCATTGCTATTATCACTAGTCCGTTATGGTATAAACAAAAATAATGCATTCATATTCTCAATAACTACAACAAATGAGGAACTGATTGTCTTCAAACTCTTAGGCATGCTTTGAGACGTGCTTTTAGAAGGTTTAAATGACTATACAGACTAAATTCTCAAACATCCTATGAGGTGTTAAAGCGTTTGATCGACCTCAGATGATGAAATGATAGTCTAAAAAGCTAAATCTACAATGCTTTAAATATATAAAGTGAACAACATACAGTAAGTTCACAGGATAAAGAGGATCACTATTGATTTGGTTGTCGCTTCCAAGGGTCACCAAATGAAGTTTGAACATCAGCTTGTTCAAACGAAAAGCCACGAGTGTTTTAAACCGATGATCAACAAGCATAATACACAGATAAACCGAACAGGTCTGTGGCAAAAACAAGGACTGACATAAATAAGACAATGTGAGGCTGGTGCTCCTTCTCTTCCGCCCACTGGCAGATTTGGGCTTGCAGTTAGTGGCCAGAAAAGCATGCTTCACCAGCAGCCATGTGGGGCACAGCAACCCCAACCACAGTTAATAACCATGACGACTTGAGGGCAGCCATCAAAGTGAACTGCAGACGTCCTGGTAATGCCCTATATTCAGCCGCTGAATGGAGATAAGTAACCTCTTCCGCCCTGGTCCTCTCACTGTTTGACAGCCTGTCTGTAGCTGTGTCTCTGACCGTCTGAGTGTTTGGTCCTCTTGCTGCCGCCGCTGCTGCTCCTGCTCGAGTCTTTGGTGCTGCTGGCATGACTGCTGGCATGACTGCTTGCATGACTGCTGGCATGACTGCTGGCATGACTGTGGTCCTGTGGTAACGTGGGGCTGGAATGGGCCCTCTGCAGGCCACCATCGTCAAACAAACGGGCTTCAAACGCTCCCAGGTCTGTTTCCCCTGTCCGGATCTTAGCTCTCAGCAGCATTGCATATGTTCCGTAGCGTGTTTTCTACAGGATACATTAAGGAAGATTTATAAATGGCTTATCTGAGGTCCACAAAAATCCCTCAGGGGAAGGGCATAGTGAAAATGTGATGTTTTTACCTCAAAGTCCAGGTACTCTTCCCTTTGCTTGTACTCTTCTTGGTCCTTGCTTTTGGTCCTGCGGTCTATGTGTAGGGTAGAGCGCAGTTCCTGGAGATCAGCAGAAATGGCTCGAAATCGTGTCTCGTGAGACTTCAGCTGCTCCTCCTATTATCATAATGAAGAAAAAAGCCACATTAGAAGAATGACATTTCTTTTGTTAATATGCTAAAAACTCAAGTAATATTATTTAAAAAACATGGAATTATTAAAAAGTAAAAATAATTAAGCAGTAATGCTGTTTTTAAAAATATAAATATTTGAAAAACGTTTGTATCAAAAATCAAAGTCACCAACTGTAACATATTAGACTTAGGGGAGCAGAGGGATCCATATGCAGAGATTTATTAGAAGCAAAAGGGTGAATATCACAGAGTCGTAAGCTAGCCAATAAAGTCCAGGGTCAAAAACCAAGAAAACAGTCCAAACAGGCAATCAAATCCAAAACACAAATCCAAGAGAGTAAACCGTATAAAAAGGCAGATAATCCAAAATCAAGGCAAGTAAACAATGGGAAAATGCTCAGAATTGTAGACCAGGCAAACAATACTTTGCAATGAACAAAGGGAATCAGGCTTCGTAAATAGGAAGTAGAAAGTAACCATGTGACAGGAACAGAGGATAGAGTTCAGTATACAGATGAGGGTGTTCTATGGCGGTTAGGAAGGGAAACCTCAGGTTGGTACAGAATCCATAAATTTAAAAAAATGGAATCAGTTCCATCAATTTCTAGTGGTGGTTCTGTATAGGTTGCAGGGTAAGCGGGCTTGAGAAGAAAAACATGGAACATAGGTGAGATTCTGATTGAAGCAGGGAGTTAACTATGTCTTCAGCTAGGCCAAATATTCTTAATACATGGTTGAATATTGTCTCAGCAGTGTCAATAGGACAAGGCAGTCCTTTAAGGGGCACCAACCTGCAATACTTAGATTATCTGTCCATTATAACCATGACATGGTATAGCCGTTTAGCATTTTAGTAATGAAGTCTACGGCAATATGGGACCAAGGCCTTCTGGGAATGGGGAGGGGTTCTCGGAGTCCTGTGGGGAGGTTTCAAGGTGTGCGGGTTTGTGTACAAACTTGACATTGGCCACCAGAATTGTTGTCTGACCATAGCACTGGTGCGGTTAAAGCCAGGGTGTCCGGAACTAAGTAATGTGGTAATCCACTGAATAACTTCATTGCGTTGGTTTTCAGGCACAAAGAGTTTACCTGCAGAGCAGTCAGTGGGAATTATGCCAGGTTGTTGGGAGTTCTCGATGTCTGTCATGATATCCCACCTAATCAGCGCAACAATAGAAGGGTCTAGAATGTGGGAGTTGGAAAGGTTCACTTGAGCCTTTTCGTAAATACGTGATAAGGCTTCAGCCTTGCCTTTCTTGAATCCAGGTTGATATGTGACAGTAAAGTTGAATTTTGTAAAGAACAATGACCATCTTGACGAGGATTTAAACGTTTGGAGGAATGGATGTATTCTAAGTTCTTGTGATCAGTGAGTACAGTGAATGGGAATTTGGCCCAGTGTCTCCATTCTTCTAATGTGGATTTTGATGGATAATAGTTCCTTGTCTCCGACGTGGTACTTCAGTTCGGCTAGGGACAGTTTGCAGGAATAGAAAGCACAGGGTATACAGCTTGGCTATATCACCATCTTTTTGTGAGAGTATGGCTCCAGTTCCAGTGTCAGAAGCATCAACTTCCACAATGAATGTTTTTTTTTTGGGTATGGATGATGGGAGCTGAAGTGAATCGGTTCTTGAGTGTTTAAAATTAGCTGTGTGAGTCAACTACAAAGTCTTGCGTTTGCCTTTTGACATGGAAGTTAGGGGACTGGCAACAGAGCTGTAGAATCCTAAGAAAGACTGTAGAAAGACTGTAGTTCCTTAATATTTTGAGGTTGTGACCACTGGAGGACGGCATTGACTTCGCCGTGGTCCATTTCTACACCATCAGGTTTGAGAACATAACCCAGGAAAGAGATGGTGGTTTTATGGAATTCACATTTTTCTGCTATGACATACAGTTGGTGAGTGATGAGATGTTCTAGGACTTGATGGACATGTGGGATGTGTCCCTGTTCAGAATTTTAATATATGAGAATATATAGAAGATGACACGGTGATTTATTAAGTCTTTCAGGATTTCATTCATAAACGATTGGAAGATGGCGGGTGAGTTGGACAGGCCATATAGCATAACTCGGTATTCAAAGGGGCCAGCGTGAATGCTGTTTTTCACTTGTCGCCAGGGTGGATGCGGATGAGGTTATAGGCACTCCTTAGGTCAGTAGTTCTCAACCTTTTTTGGGCCAGCGCCCCCCATCCATTATCCAGGTCCCTTACCCCAAAATTTGACATTCAAAATTGAACGAACAGCAGATGTACCACGAACAGCCAGTCAGCAAACAAGAAGCATTCTTGTAAATTATTTTCAACAGAGAACATTGACAGAATGATTTATTTGAACTTTCGAATTCAAACTTTCGAAATTGATTTGAAAATAAGTGTGAGCCCTGTGCTTGATGTTTTTCTGCTAATTTCTTTACTGCGGGTTGCAGAGACGTTAGTTTCAGCCGTAGTGCGCCTGAGGCATGCAAGTCCAAGCGATTGCGGTACTTAGACTGCATGTGGATGACCTTGCTGAATCCCTGCTCAACGAGATATGTTGTTGAAAAAGCAAGAATCAGCAGCCTGATCTTTTGCCAGAGAGCCGGATACCGCTGGGCATATTTGACCCACATGCTGCACCAGCCAGAGGTGCAAAAAATAGCCTGGGCTTCGTAGTCGCACTGGATGTCGACAAGATGCTCCTGAATAGCGGGCTCGCATTCGATCACATATGTTTGAAAGGGCTACACAACCCAACTGGGAACATCAAGGTTAAGGAGGTCCCGGAAGCGGATCTCCATGTCGGCCTTAACCATCATCAGGTGGTCAGTGTAAACTAGGAGGAGGTCATCAGTAAGAGCCTCAGACACCTGTAATGAGTAGTATTTTACAGTTTAATTAGGGGCCAAGCACCGAAGGTGCAGAGGCACCTATTGTATCTGTTAGTTTTCTTATTAGGGGCCAAGCACCGAAGGTGCAGAGGCACCTATTGTATCTGTTAGTTAGGGGCCAAGCACCGAAGGTGCAGAGGCACCTATTGTATCTGTTAGTTTTCTTATTATTATTCTTCTTCTTCTTCCGCAAATGGAAGTCTATGGCAGCCCTATGAACCGTATATAGGAAAATGATGAAATTTGGCACACTTATAGTGATGATAATGAAAAGTAATTGTAGCAAGTTTTGAGTCTCTAGGACCAACTCTATAGCGCCACCACCAGTTCAAAAATTCAACATTGAAATGGTTATAACTTTTGTAGCCTTTGATCTAGAGACATGAAACTTAGTACACCTGATTCCACTCATCATGTTGATTACAACCAATACCTTACATTAAGACCCCTGCCCATTACAGTAGTGGCCATTTTGAAAAGTACAGTAATCAGTTTTTTCCCTACTCCTCCTTCAAATTTTGTCCAATTTTGTCCAAACATGTGCTCAAATGATCTTCGGACTGAGCCGCATAGAAATGACTGAACAGAATTTTTTGCTATACTGAAAAAAAAAAAGTTATGATGTCGCAAACTTAACAAGGTCGACCCAAAATTGGTTCAGAAGCTATAGCTCGGCCAAAGTTTGATCAATCGAAACGAAAATTGGTACGCTTCATCGGAAGCATGGTCTGAGGGTGCATGCCAAAGTTGGGAACAGCGCCACCTATGGGTCATGAGATATGAAAAATAGCTATTTTGGCCAATAACTTTTGAACAGTTTGTCAGAAAATCATAAATGTGGTATCTATGGATTCCTTGTGTCATGTCAATTCTGGGGATATCAATTTTGCCAGGATTGGATGTACCACGTGTCCGCCATTTTGAATTTTGTCATAATTTGCCATATCTTTTAAAATATTTGACATATCTTCACAAAATTTAGTATGGATCATCATTTGCATAGCCTTAAGGTACCTGAGAAGTTTGAACACAGCGCCACCTAGTGTTCCAAAGGTATAAGGTTTTTTGAAAAAAAGCTTATAACTTTTGCAAATATAGTTCAAATTTTAATTTCTTTATGTCATTATATTCCTTGGCTTATACCGATTATAACGATATCTCGTTTGTCATTTTCCAACAATGTGACTGCCCGCGATATTGGGGCAAATGAAAAACAGTTTTTTCGCTACTCCTCCTTCAAATTTTGCTCAATTTTGTCCAGAATTTTATCAGATGGTCTTTGGACCAAGCCGCACAGAAATGACTGAACAGATTTTTGATTTTTGCTACCGTTCCCGAGATATTCGTCTCTAAAGTTGACCTAGCCTGTGTTTGTTGCCTTATGCTAGTTAGCTTAGCATAATAATTGGTTAGCATGCTAACCAAATGTCATTCTTTCTAATGCGTCTCTTCAGCTATCAGGATAACCATAAGCTACATTAGCATTATGCTAGCTTAGCATGCTAATCTGGTTAACCTGCTTTTGTGTGCTCATTCTTACACTGAAGGATCTCCTCTGCAGCTTGTGATTGTATGTCCTCTGAGTGGCGCAGTCTGCTAAACAATGTGTTACTAATCCTGAGCCGTTCCGGTTGTGGTTTCAAGCCCCATGTTATACAATTTCAAATCATTGTGTAATGTTATGTAATTTGGAGCCAATTGCTGCAGTTTTACCTTTAACAACTCAAGTCTCCGTAAAATTTGAACAAACCACTGTTTATGACTACCATGCTGTGTAAAAAAAAGGTTATAGCTTTGAAGAAATTCTAATAATTTAATATGTAGCAACTGTTTAACAATGGGAATTTTGATTTGAACAATTGGTAAGTTGAATAAGTTTTCAAATTAAATCCAAATATGTCAAACATGGTCAAAAGGTGCTTGGCCCCGCAATCACTGCTTGCAGTTATATTTATTAGGGGCCAAGCACCGAAGGTGCAGAGGCACCTATTGTATCTGTTGGTTTTCTTATTAGGGGCCAAGCACCGAAGGTGCAGAGGCACCTATTGTATCTGTTAGTTTTCTTATTAGGGGCCAAGCACCGAAGGTGCAGAGGCACCTATTGTATC